AGCACATTATACAGCCTACTTATAACTTACTTATAAACTCCTCTACCTCCTACTAGCCACTGGCTACTTCTAACTATGATTATTACCACTCGGCTTACCCCTCCCTACATTAATTATACCCTACTAACTTAATATCATTATACACTACCTATATACCGTCTATATACTTACTTATATATCCTTATTAGCATCCATTGCTCTAAATAAACGTACCCATTACGTAGACGTTTATAGAATCTCTACTTTACTATAGCTACCTCTCTACTTCGCCCTACTCTATAATAATAACTAAGTTGGCAACCTTACTACTACGCCCAGCCCGCCCGCTCTCCTAATAGTAGTTAATTATACTCCACGGTATCCCTACGTACAAGACAAACATAATACTAGGAAAGTCCACCCTAGTACTAAGCGTAGATATGGTTATAATAAAGCCCCCTTACGCTAGCCACTACTCTAGATGACCTATACGATCCTATACCCCAGTATAGTAGTATATATACTATAGTGCCTCCACTAGCTTCTTATACTACGCCTTAGTATAGTAGTAGATAACGCCTTTCTTACCTTTCCATAACACCTATACCTGCCATTAGCTTATTGCCAGTGCTATCTCCATTGCCTTGCCTTGGGCGCACCACGACATGAAATAGTAGATATTTGGCCATATAGTGCTAGCTTAGATATAAGTAGTATATAATATTAATATATCCTATATAAGCACTTCTTCTAGCGCTAGTAGGAGGGTTGCTATTAGTAAGATAATTAGGTAGGACAGTATATGAAGATCTCGAAGGCTAGTAAGCTTTAGACGCTAATGGCTGGACGTAATAACTAGGTGGCATTTATTAATTACCACCCACTACAGCAGCTTCCTCTTATTAAGTAAGATCATATACTATAGGAAGCTTAAGCTGCTGGCAACATTAGCACTCATAATAATAATAGAGGTAGGGTAGTGTATTTATGCCTATGTCTATTTAGCGTAGGTAACCCTACTCTGTGATATCCTTTATACGTGGTCCTCGATTAAGGCTTAGAAGGGAACCATGAGTATGGTGACCCTGGCGCCTAGTATGGAAGCTAGAACTATAAATAATAAGCTCTTCCCCCTACTAGTTGGAAGGACAATAATAAGTGGTGTTTGGCCTTAAACTATAGTATATATAGCCTGCTCTTATTCCCCTAACTTAAACGAAACCTCTAAGCTTTTCAGGACATGCTATATGGCCGTTTTAATATTTTTTTAAAGGTTGCTAGGCTCTAGTTTAGCCCGCTTTAGATGCGGATTAAGAGGCTATCCTACTAGGGTGCTCTCGGGCTTATGCTGCCACTTATATGTTTACCTAACCTATAGGCTACTAACCTGTCCGCCGTTTATCTACTTCCCGAGACCTAGGAAGTTGTGCCATGCCTCGCTAAGTGGTCGAAAGGTCTTAATTGACTAATTACTTAGGTGCTTAATAATGTTGATTGGCACGCTGTATATAGAGACGCCTATTACTATTATCCGTAAATTTTATAGCTCTAGTGGGCTCTTATCTTTAGCTTTAGGCTCTTCTTCCTTACTAACCTTATCCTGGTAGCCGCGGCTAAATAACTCTCCTATAACCACTCTTCTAATGCTAATAGTGACGTGTTAATACTTATGCGTATTAAGCGCTACACCTAAGCGCTTTCCTATCTCCTACTTTAAAGCTCGGGTTAAATGGTCTATTCCCCACGGGCCATAACTATTGGCCTAGATGTAGTCGCTAAATGAGCCGCCTAGAACCTTAACCTATAGATACTCCGCGAACGGCTATACGTACGCCAGGTAGATGGCAGTAATCTGGCCTAGCCACGTAGGTAGGAAGCGGGGGATGACTTTAGGGCTGTCCCACTACGACATTAATTTATAGTAGCGAATGACAGTTATTATCACCCCATCTAGGACGACCTGGTTTCGATCCTATAGCGCGCCGTTTCGAAACTATATGGCCATAAGCTTACTACCTTGAGCCGGCTACCCATTAAATACGTGGTAGGCAACCAACTTCTTACCTAGGAAGTGGTTTATAGCTTGTAGATATCGTTTCACCTACTAGATGTTCCACTGGCCATTGGGTACTTATAACCCCTGCCCTTCTTTACTTTTAAAAGCTCGCTTAAGCATAGATTGCAGTCCATTAGTAAGCCCATTTTCTTCATTTACAAAGTACGAGCCGCGGTAAGAGAAGGTGATATCATCCTGGATTAAATTAAGCTGGATAGAAAACCTACTATCTTTATCTAGGACCTAGAGTAATTCTTGCCACATCTCCTCTTTAAGCTTAGTCATTAAGTCCTTTACTATCTACTGGAAGTGTTCGATCCTAATGGGTTTTCCCTAGTAGTATAAGATCTTTTTATCCTATAACCATAGGGCTATACTAGCATTTCTATTATTAAATGTAATGTGCTTACTAAACGCTAATAGGCTTAGCATCTTACTTATGGGACTATATAAGCTGTCTACTAGAAACTCCCTTCACTTTGTTAGGAAAGCGGCCAGCTTATTATTGGCCTAGTGATCATGCTGGGATACTGGGAGTAGCACTTCCGCCCTAAGGACCTGTACGTAGTATACGACCCTAGCCAGTAGGTATAAATAGTGCTTTATGGGACGTAGGCGGCCTACATCTATATTAATTCCTAGTATGGTTGTGAAGTGGATGAGCCCGCTGGTAAAGACAAACCTATTATATTTATAGAAGATGAACGCTACTAGTACACATAGCAATGCTTCCATCTAGTAACTTTCATTTTGGCCATCTAGAGAAGCCTAGAATTCGCTAGCTAGGATCTTTTAGTTATCTTACCATAGGAATAGCTCCTGCGCGTCCTTCATTAGGTCCACCTAAGACCTCTCCTTCCTACTGCTACTCTTCCTGCTACTACTCTTCCTACTACTATTGGCGCTCTTGCTACTACTACTAACCATACTATCGCCGTTATTATCGTCGCTCTCTCCTACTTCCATGCTGGATAGGGTGCGTAGGAAGTAGTATATAAACAGCTTTATATAACTAGTATAGCGAGCCTATAATTTGGGATTCTAGAGCTGCCCCTATGGTTACTAATTGACCTTAGATGCCTTTACGCTCTTTAGCTAATGCTATATCTCTTATGGTAGTGTCTACAGCCCAGCCATACTCCTCTCTAGTACCTTCTCCACTAGGTTACTAGTATGCTTTAGCTTTGGTTCGTCTAGGCTGGGGAGCCTTACTATGTATGCCAGGTGCTTTAAGTTTCGCCCGCCTAGATGCTCTAGCCATCTGGTCCGATTAAACTAACCCGTCCTATTGGTCTTTGCCACCTCTACCTCTAGAACCTACGCTTCCTCTTTATATAGCTATAGGTCTCCTCTCCATTCGCCAAGTAGTGCCTTAATCTCATCTCTATGATCCGCAGCGGCTGGGCTACTTAGTTGGCTACTATAACTCATGATAAAGTAGTGCTGTAGCCTAGGCGTCTTAAAGAAGGTCTACACTCTGACCTTAGTATATAGTTAAGTCGTGTCACCCTTCTATAACTCCCTATACTTCTTCTTGTAGTGCTTCCTTAGTCCATCTATATTAATTATAATGAAGTCGTATTCTTCCGCGTTATAGTAGAATGTATCTATTGGCTCTCTAAGCACCTTAATTGGCTTTCCTAGCGGCTGTAGGAGACTAACCGTCTTTGGATCTTTGACCTGGAAGTGTTTAAAGTGCTTAATAATTGTGAGGTGGATCTTTATTGGTATAGTATGGTGTTGGTGGAGATGGACGTTAAGATTCTATATGCCAGCCTTGTAGCTCTTATAGATTAGGACCCCATACCTACATAAGTACTAGAGATGCTCCTTAATGTTCTTAATAGACTACGCTGCCGTCTCCTAGGTACCTTTACTAGTAATTGGTTGTGGGTGCTATAGCGCTAGCTATTAGTCATTTCCAATATTGCCGGTCCGTGCGTCCTAGACGAGTTTTATAGATAACCCTAAGTCTATTTACCCTAACCCTACTACGCAACCCTAATAATGTCCGATTTGGGATATAAAGTAATAGAGGCGTGGGGAAAGGTGAGACAAATACCTTTCCTATAAGATGATTTCATGGATTTGGGCTAGAACACACGCGGATTTGCCATATAGTTTTACCCCCTAAATTCCCAATCCTACGCGCTCGAACCCTAACGTTAAACCCATTCTGGTATGGATTCGGCCAGATCCGTCACTACTTATTAGTTAGGCGTATGCCACGAATTAACATTAATTCCTT